CAATATTACAAATAAGACACACTCAAATTAAGAAATTAAATGTACAGTAGGTAGGATTTATTTTAATTTTTAATTTTGCCCTACATAATGATAACATTCATTGTAGGGAATTGGCTATAGGGAACAAAATTTTAAGCTAAGTGTTTTATTCTCAGTAAGACCAAATTTATTATTGTACTGTCACTTTATAATTGTGTTTAGTGGTAGTTCGAGTATTACAGTAAATTGTCTTAGAATTTTTTGATTATTAGATTTGTAAACCAAACCCTAACAGTTTCATTTGTAGTGGAGTCCCTGATTTGCTGAAGTTTTCCATGTCGTTATATTTGTGGAGCCTCCAGGTGTCTCGTGGCAGTGAAAACACTTCCTAATTATAAGTTGTGTTTATTAACTTCATTAACTCAGGACCATATTCAACCACTTCTGGCTTAGATCAAAGCTTCTCTTTCATTTTTTTTTTTTTTTATCAAAGTGACAGCAATAAATAGTGCCAGAAATCTTTTTTACTATATGCAGATGCAGCTTTTCATGTTCCTGGTTTTTACGCATTTTCATGTAGTATTGAATACATACAAGAGTATATACTACCTATGTTTAAGGACTGAAGCATAATATTAAACTATATATTAAACTCTTCATTCAGTATAATAATTAAAACATTTCTGAAGTCATTGGTACAACCTATATCCTCCTACCAAACTTTACTCGCTATTCCCACTGAATAGTTTCGGAGCATTTAAAATTTCTTCATGTTTAAAAATAATAAACATAGGCATCTATTTTTACTTGCTTTACCTATTAGAAATAAATACAATGCTGAAAACAGATTTCATGTTTGGCACACTATTGTTTCAATTAACCTTTTGCAGCACTGGGTGTGTCAAAATTTGCAGAACTTGTGAAAACAAATTATCCTCTAGAGTACCGGTATCCCCCTAAATCTATTATAATTACGTATATTAATTTATAGACAGGAAATTATTAAATATGATTTAAGAAAGATATATAATTAAGCCCAAGGCTTCAGTATGTTTATTGCTAACACTGAATATTTAAAAGTGTGGATAAAACCAAGAGGTCTTCATTCATGCAAAATTTACCCATTTACTGAGTACTTCACATATAATTACTTTTTTTAGTGCCTGTATATGTTGAGTATCATTTTGTGGAATTTTACATCCTTGATCTTTGTTTTTGTCTTTTTAACATACCAATCATGCAGGCATTAGGCATATTAATGATAAGAAAACTACCTTTAACAATATCTTGCAGCTAAAACTGGAGTAACTAGAGTTTAATCCTAGGTCTCCATGATTGGTAAAGGTATATTTTATTTAGTCACAGGGGATGCTGTACATTTGGAATGGGGAGTAAGGATCTGCCACTTGAACTGGATTGCAGAGATCAAAGGATGGACATTTTTAAGGTTTGTGATACATACCGTGTAGTGTCCTTGCAAATAATGGCATCAATTTACATTTCAACATAAAAAATAGAAACCACTTATTTTGTTACCTCCTTAACAACTTGAATATCTTTCATTTGTTTTTAAAAAATGTCAATTTGACAAAAGAAAATTCACAAGAGTCATTTGTGAAAGACCACTCAAATGTTATAATTAAATTATTGGTAATCTTTTTGTAGACATTTGTTTCCCTTCATTAGAATTATTTCAAGGATATATCTGTTTGTATTTCAGCTTGACTAACTTAGGCTAATTTTCTTTATGCCTTCATTCCTTTTCTAATTCCGTACTACATATGTGTGATGAGTTTGTTTCTTGGGCCTTGATAAATACACTGCAATTTTTGCAGTAAATGTAGAGTCCTTGCAGCCTCCCTTTATGTGCATTAGAAGTGTATTCTTTCCAGTAAGATTCTGTGAAGCTGGACAATCTAGGTTAAATGAAGGGAAGGTGCTCATGTTTTTATTTATTTGAATCAAACCATTCGTCTGGTGAACCAAACTAATATGAATGTATAGATTTTCTTTTTCTCTTCCGGAATTCTTGTGTAACAACAGAACAAATTGAATGGAAAAAACATGAAAGAAATATAAAAGAATTCAATTACAAGCATTAATTGAGAATGCATGCCACATATAATAACATTAGGTCTTAGGTTAGTGAAAAAACTGTTAAAGGACAAAATATCCTACAAATTTAAAAATGTAGTAGAATAACACCTGAGTAATAGAATGACAAAAATGGGTAGAAGACAGTAACCTTTGTCATGCTCTTTTCTCTTTTAACCCATGTTTTTCACCAAACAGGAGCACTGCTCTGATGGAGACATATTCTAGGACTCCTGTAATGCCCGTTTATTATTAGGTGCACTAAGGTTTCCAAATCTTCCTCCAGATAATTTTCAAGAAATGCACAACCCAAGCAAAAGGTGACTGCTATGCAGAAGGCTTGAAGACAGTCCTCCATGACCCCTTCAGCCATTCTGCATCCCTGCATATGGAGAAATTCCTGAGCCAACAGGGGACTGGTTCAGTATGGATTTAAAGCAGGAGCTCCTGAGTACGTGTTTTATGGCATTATTTATTTATTCGGCTTCTTACTTTTTTCATTAAGCTGACATGGCTGATCCAAAGCTCAGTAAGCATTCTCTCTCTTCTGTTCCCTTTTCTGTATATTTCCTCTCTCTTGTCTTTTCAATTACGATGTGCAGGAATTTTCATCCTGTTGGCTGATAGATGGCAAGATGTCAACACATGGATTTAGCAGGAGGTAGGGAGGATTTGGCCTACAATATAGACCAGATCCTGCAATTCAATATGCTCGGAGGTCTTCACTGGCATGGAGGTGAGAGTGCCACAGACATAATGTTGTACTTTGCTTTTTACTCTCTGTTGCCCACATGTTTTTTATCCTTCATGGGTGCACCATAGGGAGAAGTTCTCATTTGTGCTAAGTTTTACACATACCAGCATCCTTATTCTCCAACAGCTCTAACTCCTAACACCATGGCTGGATGAATCAATGTGGGACATAGTGAAAACTATTACTAATTACTTCTATCCCCAGTAAACCCACGATCACCCAGTGGGATAGACCTCTCCTTATTACTTCATTTGTGCCTTGATTCCACATCTGTAATTATTGATCATGGCTATTTAGAAGGGCAGTCAGGGGTGAGTTTTACCACAGTATTGTGTGTAAGTCCCTTAATCCAAAACCAGTTCCTTCCTCAAGGAAACTGTTGTCCTTCTCTGAAGACAGGTAAAGTAGGACAGGACTGGAGTGCTAGGCAGCCCCTGCTGAAGAAAGTTCACTCATAATCACTGAAATAGCTGTAGCATCACGACTGTTCAAGGTGAGACTATCTTCAAAACCATTTTGAGAAGTCAAAATTACTGTATTTATGTTTGTAGTAGATATGCTTTATTATCTCTTAAATGTCAAATATGCTAGACTCTGTGGGAAGAAAAATATGAACATATGACCCCCTATTCTTAAAGGAGCTTACATGTAAATAGTGAAGTACATACAATTCACAAAAATAAAACAGCAGGGAAAATGAGACTGCAATATTAAACTGACCAGGATCTGAGAGCAAATCTGTAATCTACACATTGTGGTTGGATAACATTATACACCTTATCTCAGTGACATGCTCCTATTAGATGTAGGCTGAAAGGATCAGAAATATAATCCCCTTCTCTTATATTGAAAGTATTCATGTAGTTCTACAAAACATTTCTTTGTCCCAAATATATTTAAATTTCCCTAACTGGAGTAACCTCTCCTGTATATGCTCTAATGCACGGTGTCCTGTGGTGCCTTCATTTTGTGTATTTCAAACCTCTTTCTTCCAAACCTCCAGCTCCACTCTCCCCTACAATTTCCATCCCAGATACTATATACATTTGTTTCCAGCTAGAGTTTCAACCATAACATCACTCTGATTAAACCAAGAGACATTCAGTCAGAGCTGGAAAGGGTCTGAATTTTGCTGGATGTGCAATGGCTTGGTTAAGGACTTTCTATCTTGGGAAACATATTTTACTGGAGTAACAGAAAATGATGTCATTGGGGAAGGTTTGGAGAACTTGAGAGATGAAGCAGAGGCCAGCACTAAAAGACAATGAAGCCCAAAATTATGCCCTGAGTACCTAGGGGAGCCTGGTGGTGGCTCACAGCTGATATCCACTATGAACAGTTCCAGAGGAAGGTGTTAATGTAAAGAATACAAAGTTTGGATTTCCTGCCGAGCATCTGAGATGACACATAAAGGAGAAATAGAATCAGCTGAAAGGCCAGCCCAGGCAGGAGACACGGCATACATACAGAGCTTTTTTCAGTGTCTTCAGCGTCTGGGATTTCTCAAAATCATTATGTGAAAGAATGAACAGGAAGAGTAACCATAGCAAACACACCATCTGTGTACACATTATATGTTAGAAGCTTCCTATCACTATAACAAATACTTGGATAGTTAATTTATAAAGGGAAAAGAGATTAATTCAGTTCCTAACTTTAGAAATTTGAGTCCATGATCAGTTGGCTCTGCTGCCTTGGGCCAGTTGCAGGCAGCACATCATGGCAGAAGTCATGGCTGTCCTCATGTCCAGAGAGCAACAAAGAGAAAGAGGAGGAGGCTGAGGTCCCATGATCCTTTTCCAGTGCACATCTTCAAGGACCTAAAGACTTCCCACTAGGCCCCACCTCTTGAAGGCAATGCCACTACCCAATAGTGTCATCCCTTGGAGCAAACCTTTACCATGTGGACCTCTGCACGCTGCAGATTCAAGCTATAGCAGGCTGTAAGTGTTATAACAGTCTGTATAATAGTTCTGCTCACATTTATTTTTGCATTAAAATAGACAAGTCAGTGGGATTACAATTCTGCTTCAGTATCACTTTTCACTTGTAAATGTAACAATTTTGCCATTATGATTTGAAACAATGTTTCCATATGGATGCTAAGTGTTTCTCAAGTCTTCTAATTAATGTGCAAACCCTTTAGATCAGAATGAAAAAGTAACTTTGCATATGATCTCAGCATCAGGAGTATACATATAAAGACACTATATACTTAATCACAAGATAGTTTTCTGCTAACCTTCAGCTTAATACATTCTTGTCTATTTTAAACTACACTCAGACTGGAAAGCACAGTTTACTGCTCAGTGGCCAGAACTGTGGGATTATTTTGGAGAAAAACAGGAATTCATTCTCCCAGATGTGACTATGGAAGACTATTTTATTTCACAACCTCTTTTGGGAATCACTCAGTGCATTCATTTCCTACTCATAATGTATCAACATCACAGGTACCCTCACTTAGGTATCTAAAAATATTGCCTGAAAACACTTGTGCTACAGATTTGGTTTGAAGAGTTAAAATCTTTGATGGTCAGCACTTATCTCCTTCGTCAAGAAATAAACGATACATAAGCAGCAAGTCACCTCCTTAAGAAAAGTGATAGAATTTATCAATCATATAGTTCCTTTGAGATTGAATGCTGGACTTCTGAATGGAATATCAACTTTCCTGGACATTTCAGCAGACACCAGTCCCTAGGTAAAGGTGGCAGAAAAATCTTCCTTCTTTATTTTATCATTCATGGTTGGATATAGCTTTGTACCAGTAAGTTCAGCGTGACATGACAGTTTAGGTTTTCCGGAACACTTTGATTTCTGTAAGCTGCTGCCACCGCTCCCAGCCTGTGTGCAGTGTGAGGCTGTTTGCTTGGTCAGACGGATCTTTCTGTTTTTGCAAAACATGATAGTGTTCTGATACAGAATATCACTTGTTATTTTCCAGTAACTGTTTTCTTTCAAGAGTAGCTTTATTTCTGCTTCTGCACAGGAGGAGGACAAGCTTTTATTAAGCTACTTGAAATTTTACTGATGACACTAATTTATTTAATGAATAGGCATATATTCTTTAAAATATTTCTCCTTTAATATTAGACTCAAACCTCTACATTTCAGTGTTGCACAGTATAACCTATAAAAACATTTATAATAGCATATTTAATGAAGCTCTGATTTCTGTGTTACCAGAACAAATTGTCAAATTCTGATGAATAAGGAGAGACATTGTTAAGCTTTTAATAGAGATGTCTCTTGCTTTTATAAAGTACCTGTGACCTACAATCACATTAACATTTCACAACCAAAAGTAGCATGACATTTAAATAATACTGAGACTGCACATTTTTATATCAAAAATCATAAAGTTAAATTTATACAATAGATATACAACAAAGCACTGCACAGAAGACACAGCAATTGCTGAAGTATACCGTTCAGGTTGTACAAGAATGGAAAAGTCTTTTGCAGGTTTTTAGTGTGTCCTCTGACTCCACTTAATATCTGCTAGACAAATCACAGAGGCCTCCCAAGGGATAGCAACAGATGATCTCTTTGAAGGTTTTCCTCAGTTCTTGACTCCGAAGTGCATAAATAAGAGGATCAATGATCGAATTACACATGATCAGTATGAGATACAAGTTAAAGTGAGACATGAAGCACACACAGTATGGATTTTGGGGACAAGAGATATAGAATATCAGGTGGAGAAAGAATGGGGCCCAGCAGACAACAAACACCCCAATCAGTATGGTCAAGGTAATTGCACCCTTCATGTTAGCACCTTGGCGAATGGTGCCAGTGCCTGGGAGGACAGCAATCCTCTTAATGTGAAGTCTAGCCATCAGGAACATGTGGACATAGAGAGAAGCCATGAGAGCCAGCATGGTGAAGAACATGGTGATGAGGCAGATGATGACAGCACTACTATCCGAATAAATGATAAAGAGAATGCCTGAAACTGTACAAGCTGCCCAGATACAACTTATGATGATCCCGACCCGTTTCACCGTCATGATGTTATGGTACTGGAGTGCATAAAATATAGTAAAATACCTGTCCACTGCAATGGAAAGCAGGCTGCAAATCGACGCAAGCAGGGAGCTACAGATCACAGAGTCAATGACATTGTCAATGTTCACTGTGAAGCTCTGTGCGTCTGTATCTGTGCTGTTTAACAGGGTGATGACAATGGTTTCTGATCCATTGGAAACACTCACCAGCATGTCTGCCACAGCCAGGCTGCAGATGAAAAAGTACATGGGTGAGTGCAGATTCTTGTTCTTGGCTATTGCCACGATCACCAGAATATTCTCCAACAAGCTTATGACACCCAGAGTCACAAACACCTCTGGGGAGACGAAAAGTTGCTCGTAGCAACCTCCATCAGAGTAGCCTTTTCCCAGGGGCTCGCTGGCATTGCTGTGCAGTCCGTGGTTGCTGCGGTTCCAGAAGTGAAGTGAGGTGTACATCCCGTGGTGGTGGGTGGAGTTCATCGCGGGCAGCAAGTGGCTTGAAATCCCCTTGAGCTGATTTAATCTCCGGGGTCAAGGAATCTCTATTTCCTCCCGGTCTTTATCTGACTAAAAGTTATGAGGCTGTAGTTGGCTTGCCTGCCATGAGGAGAGTCACAGCGTCAGACCTTGAAATGGAGTTTTTAGTCTCTTTTAGGTATGGCTCTGATCATTACCTTAAACTTCTTGGGCTTTCAAATGCTTATTCTCGGTAGAAAAGCCTGCTGTTTGCTTTTTGCTCTCACTGCTGCTTTGACTTTAGCCTTGTGCGTTCATGTTTTTTCAAAATAATTTTCCTGGGAGCCTCTGTGCCACTGGAAGCCAAGTCTGTGTGCACATGGTCGCACAGGCTGCCTCTCAGAAGTGGCAGTTCCCAGCCTAAGCGGTGCTTTGAGTGTGAGGAGCTGAGGGTGCCGGCTGCTGATTTATATGCTATGTGAAGGAGAAAAAAAATGTTTAGAATGGCTCCTCCTCTGCTTCCTTCTGACCAATCTAAGTGCAGTGGAAGTCAGTGCGATACAGACTGCAGGGAAATACTGATTCAGTAGCAGAAGCTCGTGGAATCCGGAACAAACAGAATGTGAGACACTGGACTTCCCTTTTCAAGTTTTCAAGGAAAACAACTTGATCCTTAGAGGAATTTTCATGATATCACAAGAAGTCATGATGCAGCCAGGCTTACTTCTGCTTATAAGAGAGGTGTGTGTGTGTGTGTGTGTGTGTGTGTGTGTGTGTGTGTGTGTATGTATGGTATGTGTGTGAAATGAAGTAGAAAACATACGGCCTTATGATCCTATAATAAATACACTGCCTTTATGTCCAGGATTATGAATTTATCTCTTTAATTTTCTTAAGGTCCCAGGCAGTAATTTAAAAGCCCAACAACAAAGGGGAAATATTTTATAACATAGTTAGACATGCTATGAATGAAAGAGTTGTGTAGGTAATTAAAATTTGGCAAAGGGCTTAAGAAAAGATTTATTTCTTTTGCAATAATATCTGACATTTCTCTACTGCAGTTTCTTTTGTCATAGCTGGAAAAGTTTATTTTCCACTCATAATTAAATCTATGTAGCATACATGTGACCGTATTTATGCTAACCTTGGGAAAAAACAATAATGAGACAAAACTCTATTGTTAAATTTTAAGGCAACATTCTGTTTTGCTGTTGCTTTTACTTCTATAGTTGAAGGCTTTATAAATTAAAACTAAACCTGCTTTTACAGCTTTATTTATTCAAGGAGAGACTAATGGAAGAAAGTTTATAATTAGAGTTATACATATTTTGCTGGAGCTAGTTTTGAGAGATTGCAAGACAGTTAGTTTTCACATTAATTAAATCCAGGTTGTTATATTTTGTATATTGTCATTTTCTTGCTGTGATATTTCTGGTTTTAGTTGTCAGTAGTTTGTGGGCATTAGTCATAGGATATAAAATAATACAAAATTATTTAGGGTTAATTATGAATCCACAGCTACTTTATCCACTTTCCTTTTTGTGATAAAGTTTGAGCTAAGTTAACATCTCCCATCCATTTCTGGAATTGACTGGGGCATTATGACTGAATTCTCACTAATGAAGTATGGACAGAAGGGAGGACTGTTTGTCATTTTCCTCTCAGTCCTACACCTTTTCCCTTATGTCGGGAAGATGACTAGGGTGTCTTGGAAGTCACCTGTTACAGGTGGTAGAATCACATTGTGGAGGAGGCCTATCTTTTTAAATGACTATACAGTGCAGAACTCACCTCCGACTCCCTTCCTCCAGCCTGTTACATTAAATTTGATATAAGCAAGAAGCAAACTACATTAAACTACTAAGATAATGGCATTTGTCTGTTAGAGGAGCGGGCATTTCTTACCCTGACATGCAAGAAGCAAGCTACATTAAACTACTAAGATAATGGCATTTGTCTATTAGAGGAGCGGGCATTTCTTACTCTGACATTCAAACATTTTATTGGAGTCATTAACTAGTGGCAAGCTGGATTACATGAGAACCCTTTCTTTCCTCTGCTTTGGATTTGCCCCAATAGTGAATTATCTAACCAATAAGAGATGGAGAAGAAAATGAATTAAAGTCAATGTTTTGAGCATCAAATAGTCAACTCTGAGTCATCTCCCTGAATCAATTTTTGTCTTTCTGTTCCTTACTGTACTGGGTGGCACGAGAGTCCTATTTGTTCAGGCTTAAAATTCAGAATACCTTTGATTTCTCTGTCTATCTCAAAATCCCTCTGCTGTTCAATTTGCTATTTTGTTAGAAATGTTTCTGGCATCATAAGAAGGTATTACATAATCCAAGGTCATTAAGATTTATATTTCTTTATTGATATTCTCTTTTATTGCATCATTCTTTTTGTTCCTTTTTGTTTGTTTGTTGTAAGTGTTTTTTGAGACAGGGTTTTCCTATGTATTCAGACTGGCCTTGAACTCACTATGTGGCTCAAATTGGCCTTAAACTTGCTATTCCTGTTTCAGACCCCAAGTGCTAGGATTACAGGTATGTGCTATCATGTCTAGTTACTTTCCTTTAATTCTTTAGGTATGGTTTCCATTAATTTTTTGAACATGTTTATAATTTAAAGTCTTTATGTATTAAGTCCAATATTTAGATTTCCCCAGGAATATTTTTTATTGAGTTTTTTTTTTTTTTCCCCTGTCAGGAGCAAACTATGCCAGTAACATAGATCAGGCACACGGTGTCTTTCAGAATTTATTGAATGACAATATATTAATGAGCTACATCAATTGTGTCAGCCTAATCAGGCCAAGTACTCAGAGTTCACTTCGTAGCCAATGAGCTGGGCAATCACAGAGTTTTTTTTTTATTCCAATCTTCTGAGTAATATCTGTACCACTCATGTCACACATCACACTCACACAACAATGTATAGGTTACAGAATGAAGAAGAAAGGGTTAACAGCTGTAGGATTTGAAAAGAAAGAACTGAAAAAGCCAGGCAGAGAAGGCAAGGAGCTTGTTGATGAGTGCAAAGTTGGTTCAGTGTCTGAATCCAGACAACAGGGAGGCAGATAGTTAAGTGGGCTGTGTCAAGGAAGGGATCAAGCTGGGTGGAAGCTGGGAGACGGAGCCTGAGCTCCTGACCTGTCCACCTCATATACTATCACTACCCAGTCTCATGGGTGTGGCACCTCCTCAGCCCTGTGTTAGGCGTCCCTCCCTTTCATTATCCAGGTGAGGAGGCTGATTCATTTGCTGTTCTATGGTATGTCTGATAAGCTCATGGGCTTTTTTAAAAATATAACTTAAATAAACCATGTGTCCGTGTCTCCCTGTTTTAATCTAAGTTTACAGGTGACAATTTTTTATTAGCAAGGTGAACTTATGTATTAGTTTTTGTATGGTGATTGTGCTCCACAGCCGGGAGTTGTTTTATTGATAGAATGTGTGCAACATCTGCTGATTATCTCGGTGCACAGAGAAGTTACCAAGTTGTTCTGCTTCTGCATTTGCACTTAGAATGGAGAAAGTTGTTCTTTTGTACAATGGAGTGACAGTGATTCTCAGCCTTTGGTTAAGATTAAGTGTAAAATGGAGTCACTCAGGGAAAAACATAGCCTGAAAGCTACTGTTCTATTCAATGTGGAGTAATTTACAGAAAAGTACAGCTTGCTCTCCACAACAACCATAGGTTTTTATTTATTTGCATGACACTCTTTCATTATTTAAAACTACAAATCTTAATGCAATGCAGCAAATCTGAAAATAAGATTTTCAGTCTTGCTCAGGATTAATGTTAATGTGCATTATTGCTGTTGCTGTGACTTTTCTGAGAATTTTGTGACACTTGTAGCCTGTCTTGTGTACCAACGAACTCTCTACTATTAGCATATTGCTTGGCTAGTAATTGGACAGAGATGCTTAGCCTCTTAAAACCAACAGGTATCCCATTGTTTGCTCAGAAGCTCTGTGCATTTTGGATCAAGCCTGAAGCCCTCAGCCAGGAATTTGGCAAATCTACCTTTCTATTACTTCCTGCTTGCACAGAGCCCAGAAGTCAGTCAAGAGGTGAGAAGTTAGGGCTTTTATTATGTCTTTTTAAACTACACGGAGTTCTATGCATATACAAAGCTTTCTAGATTCCCAAGAATATGAGCTTTTAAAAGTGCTAATGGATACATTTCCTTTTAAAAAAAAAATCAGTTTATTGGTACAATTTCGATATACATGAGACTCATTTACCATAGGAAATTTGTAACTGTACATGATGCATCTTAGTTCCCCTTTTTCACCATTCTCCTCCCCTCATTTCAACTTCTCTTCACTTCCTTATTTACAATGCTTTGTTTCCATTTTATCCTTTTTTAAAATTTTTTCCCTCCCCTCCCCAAGTTCCCCCTTTTTTTGAATAATTACTTCCTATTTCACAATATCTATTATACATTTTGAATTCTTATTTACACTTTCAGTTTATCACACAAGAGAAACAATACAATATTTATACATATGTGTCTGATTTATTTCACCTAAGAGTATGGTCTCAAGGTCCATTTATCCCTGTTTTTAAATGACTGAGTGAGTATGGCTGCATTGTATGTTAAAGAAGAACACATCTTTTTTATTCATTCATCAGTCGATGGGCATTTGGGTTGTTTCCAAGACTTAGCTATTACAAGCTGTGCTGCTGTAAACATGGATGTGCATATATCACTGTAGTATGATGCTTTTCATTTTTGGGGGAAGATTCCAAGATGAGGAATACCTGGGTCAAATGGGACCTCTAGTCCTAGATTTTGAGGGATTTCCATATTGATTTTCACAGGGTTTGAACCAGTTTATACTCCCACTAGCAGTGGAGATATGTTCCTTTTTCCCCATAGCCCTACCAGCATTTGTTATTGGTTGATTTGTTGAAAATAACCATTCTTTTTGAGTGAGATGGAATCTCAGTGTTAATTTGCATCTTTCAAATGATTGATGATGTTGAACATTTTTTCATTCATTTATTTGCCATTTGTACTTTTTCTGAGGAGTGTCTGTGCATTTTGGTGCCCATTATTTAAATTTTGTAGATCTGATTTTTTTCAATTCCTTATATGTTCTGATTATTAGTCCTTTGTCTGAAGAACAACTGGCTAAGTTTTTCCCACTCTGTGGGTTCTCTTTTCACCATGTTGGTGATTTCTTTTGCTGGCAAAAGCTTTTTAATAAGATGAGACCCTAGTTGTTGATTATTGCAGTGTTTACTGTGCAGTCGGGTTTTGTTCATGAAGTCTTTGCCTACACCTATATCTTCAAGTGTTCTAACTCTTCTCTCTTCATCAGATTTAGTGTTTCTATTTTAATATTTACATCTTTGAACCCATTTTGATTTTAGTTTAGTGCAAGGTGATATACATGGGTCAAATTTTAT